GACGCGTTTAAAATGCAAAAACCGACAGAAAAAGGGTTGATATGCGTTATAGTTTGCATTTAATATGTAGCATTACAGATATGGTGTAATTGAGTAGTCTGGATCCATAAACTACACCAAACAAATTATATTGCCGATTGAGTTGTTTATTTGCATTGGCTATGAATGCCGTACATACTCGACTGAGCTCAACTCCCTTCGTGCCAATAGCTTCTTGCTGTATCGGCTTCAGCCCATCAATTCTCTGCATGTTTCAGCCCCGAATTATGCCCAACTTCAGCCTCCCGGCCTAATTGACTGTGACACAAAGCTTCCTCCTTAAATCACCTCGTTTACTTGCATGATGGTGCGAATTAATCGCATCATAGGCGCATAAAGTAGCGAATATCAAATTGGGCACACACACACACACACACAAACGCGGAAAGTTTTGTAATACGCTTTTCATGCTTTGTCTAAATTGTTGCGAGAAGTTGACTTTTGAGCAATTCCTTTCAAGTGAATAATGCTAATCACATTCTGGAGAACAGGAGGCGGGAAGGTGTAAGGAAAGCGTGACTCAAATGCAGGCTTTACAATTTCTGTACATATCATAAGACAACTTCTTGCAAATTCGAATGGCTTTTGCTCAAGATTATAATTAGTAGCATTACATTTTGGCGAAATTCATTACAAAATGGCCCAACATGAAATGTACATTAAAGGTTATTTTTTATTCAATTAGAGCTTAAGTCATGCTGGACAGGACAGAGGTGGGTCAAAATTGTGATTTGCAGACGGTGTGCAATGCCGTTTGAGGCCAAAATAAATGCCAAAACTGGTATATCCGCTTGCATTGCTCTCAAGTGTTGCTCCCACCTTGTCAGAGAGGGTGTGCAAAAGCCGCCCTCCGAGGAAAGCTAACCCTAAATGGCATAAATTAGTTTAGTTGTATGCCAACCCAAATATGAACAAGTTGGATCCTACTTCAATGATCATCGGAAAGCCGATCCCCTCTTTGTTCCAAAAAATACGAAAGCCTAAAAGCAGACTGTATCATTCTGGATGTTACTTGAAGTCCTTTTAGCTCAGTTTCAGGCTCATGTACCTACAACAAGGACGTAGAGCCATGACGATTTCGGGTGTGCAATAGAGGACTCTCCATCGTCCTTAACATCAAATCAAAACTCATCAAAAAGATGGCCTTTCAGAAGTCTCGCCTGTGTGTGCGTGTGTGTGACCGCATCTGTACCTAATTCAGCAAAAAGAATGCTCTTTAACATTCCTACCTTCTTTGTCCGCATATTTGGTGAGCCCGAAGGTACCACTCCAAAGTGCCACAGACAAGGGGACAACATTCGATGGCATTTTCAGCTGAAGGCTCAACTCGAAACTCTTCTCCCGTACTACAGTGCAACTTGCATCAGTCAAGACTATCCTTTTTAGTTAGACACTTTTTTCACTCTGGACAACTACTTATATTTTGTGCATTTAAGTAGGACAAAAGAAGTGTAACGATAACGGTTCGATTCCCATTCTCCGTTCCGGGGAGGTCAAAACACCAGTCCAGATCAGCCTGGATGATAATAGCATTTTGGAGGTAGGGATGTTTGAAACTGGATGTCATTATGAGGTCTAAGGGTCGCATTGTGTGAGTAAATTCAACCATCTCTCCTCCCGCATACTATATGGCCTAGGATGACGATAATTCCTATTCAAGACTAACCGAAACTATGGAAATCTACTCAAAAGTCATGCAATTGGTCCAACTCCAATATAAAGGCTAATTGAAAATTGCTAAAAATTGCCGTTTTTCTCCGTTTATAAGTCTAATATAATAGTTGAGGGTAATCAGGACACAATAAAAAGCAAATGTTCACTCTTAACAAAACATTACAGTTTAGAAAGCATCGTCGCCTGTTGCTTGAGCAGTAGCCACAGCAAC